ACCCACGCTGCACGGGGAGAATATGCAAACTCCACGCAGAAAGATCCTGGGTGTCCTAACCGGGAGGCGAATCAGCAGCCTTCTTGCTGTGAGGCAACAATGGTAACCACCACGCCACCTTGCAGCCCCAAGCAAAACTATATCTCAGAAAATCAACTGTCTGATCTCCTTTGGTTTCCCAGTGTCGGTAGGGTTGGCCAAATTTAAGAAAAATCTTTTTTTATAGTCAGAGTGTTTACTCCTTAGCACGACATCATCTGTCATAGCTGAGCAACATCGAACTGAACTTATTTATGTTCAATCCACCTGCACTTTAACTTACACCTCATGTAAATACTGTAATTCTGTTCCTTATTTAACTGTGCTGCTAAATTCATGTAAAGTCACTTTGCACCTCCGAACCACTTTAGCACCTTATGTACATTGTAATTTTATTTATCCTATTTTAACTACCACATGGCTGCTACTACTATTGTACAGTTGTTGCTACCTGACTTGAATTGACCCCAGGTGACAAATAAAGTTTTTTGAATTGAATTGAATCAATATGTTGTATTTAGAACCACCTGAGGGTACATTAATTCTAAAACGGTTATTTTATTTCACCTCCTGATCTGACAGTTTCATTCCTCGGGTTAATTTGTTATAGCAAAGACTGTTTTGGGGAAAGATGATCACCTCGATATCTATAAACTAAAAGGTAAATTCCGTCATTTTTAGGCTGTGAAAGCTGACAAGATCAAATACAAGAGTGGTGTAACTCATGTCTTGAAAGTAGTAACTTCAGTTATGAATGTAATGTGTGGCCTAACCATAGCATGCCTTTAATGCTCAGTATCTATAACACTTTAAACAATATATTAAGTAAAAACAACTGGTCGGAGGTTTTACGTCGACAGGCTGCAGAGCATCTTTATTTTCCATTTGTTTACCGAAACAGTATTTTATCAAAAAAAAGGGAATTACTTGTGTATTTTGCATAGTAATTTTGAAATCAAATTATATTGGTTATCAGCACAAAATATCTATTAGCAGCTTCTGTTCAAAATATCAGAATCTGTATCTTTAAAATCTGTATCAGTTGAAATCTACATAAAAACACAGTATGTTCATACAATCTGGTGTCACAGATATTCATTTGGTCTAACATTGGACAGGTTAAAGCTACAGTTCACACTAGTCAATAACATCAGCGTACACACCTTCCTGGTCACTCGGTTTTGGTGACTTCACAACAAAAGTCTGCATGTATCTATGAAATAATATTCTGGAAACAACTATTAGATACTGTTGGATTCCAATTCTCTGTCGTGGTCGATGATGAGTAACACCGGGCTGAATAACTGAATTTACTGCTCTAAGAATGTGTCCAAATTTTCATCTTTGCCCCTTGTTTTGGGTCTGTCTTAGTTGATTCTGCAATTGAGTGCTTGAAGTTCTTGTGCAGTCAACTAACTTATCAAAAAAACACCAACAGACGTCAAGATTTAATCTGGGGCTTTTGAGGCTTTGGTGGTTTGGGCAGTTCAATTTGTCAAGCAAATGAGCATCTGTTCCAAAATCACCTTGGGCATGTCCTCTGAACCTGTATTCAGCACACCAGAAAAAGCAATGCAACCCAGTTGGTTCCATCTACCTGAAGCAGATGTAAATTCCAGTTTGTCTTGTTTAGTCCAACAAAGCAAAACTCCAAGCGAGGCTGGATGACCGACCAAGCACAGCAGGAAGCTGAATACGGGCCCCAGACCACCACTTACGATATCAGCTAAGATGGGACCTGCAGTATTTGCTCATTTTGTGGCTATTTGCTGACATACTACGTGCCACTAAATTAGGTGTCATTTTATCAAATTACCGCAACAGGGGCCCAACAGGAAATTCCTGCCCAGGGGCCCTCAAAGGTAAGTCCAGCCACGAATCCAAGCATGATCATTTTGGTGTTTATATCCCCCTCAGTTAAAAGGTAGTTTGGCCGACAAGTCCGCCAGAGGAGTGGGCATGATGGGTAACTTCCATACATCATCTCCTACTTTCCTCACACGTCTGTCATTCCTCGCTGTATGGCAGTCTAGTGAAGCAAAAAAAAAAGTCTATAGAAATATGTAAAATAGTAAAAAAAAACAAAAAGACAAAAATGAACAGACATGATGTCCACATCCAGTGATGCTGCTCCCTGAGTCACAGGTCAGGCTCTTCCGGGCCATCAGAAACGTGCCACAACTTTAATGTCCAGGCTTCCCGAACCACCTGAACCTGCTCCAGAACCCTGAGCCTGGTGTGATCCCTGGTCCACTTGGATTTGGTGGAGGCCAGTGTTGAAGCTGGCACACAGCAGAGTAGTGGAATCATTGGGAGTCAGAGAAACCAGCGGGCCAGCACCGTCCAGAGACAGCGTCCCTAAACAGACTGAACAGAGGATGGCAGAGGGAAGGTTAGCGGCAAAAAAAAAACAACCTATGTGTGGCTTTGTATTCATGTTTCTGTGAGTAAATGTTTTCATCCATGAGCGGGAGTGCTACCTGCTGTATTCTGATCCCAGATTTTGAGCGAGCTGTCGTGGGAGGATGTTGCTACCCGAGCTGTGCCACCAGGAGTCATGGGCAGAAACATGCAGCAGGCTGTGGTCTGGAGATGGCCTCTGTACTCCACTACTTTACAGCCAGGCTGACGCAGGTCCCAGAGCTAACAACACACAGACACAACTTTACTGGTAAGACATGCATGAACAGCAGACACATTTAAGATGTTGCCAAAAAGTGGTAAATTAGATTTTCAAGGGGGCTCCTCAGTGGACTAGTCATTAAGACCAACTCCCTCTACGGTCCACTCCTGCCTGAATAGATCATCACTGCTGCTATCAATAAAGACATAAAAGCTGATCTCATCAATAATAAAAATAAAAGATGCACCTTAAATCTAACAGTGAAATAGTCATGACTTTAATGAAGATAATAATCAAATGAAAGATGATGCAAGTCAGTTTTAAAGGTTTGGAAAAGCTGCTTCTCAATTAAACTCATGTTCTGAATAAAGTACATGATCATATATTCTAAATAACACTTTGAAGGTGCTATACTGCAATGTACAACAGAATCACTTGTAGGTAATCAAATAGGTGCGCTTGTATGAACACATTATTTCAACAATCACACAACCACCTCCAGCCTCACCGTGGCTTCACAGCCCTGTCCTCCGAAGCCGTTGCTGCTGGACACCAAGTAGTGACCATTTGGAGACACGTCACAGTGGGTCTGGATGTATTGCTTAGCTGGAAAAGTGTTGGTCACCTGCCACGCACGGCTGTCCCACACCCTGTGAAGAAGCGCATTAGTGTAGAAAGGCCCACGTGTAACACACATCTATGCATAATTGACAAGAGCAGAGATTAAGTTATTTAATCTCCACAATGCTGTAAGTATTGTCAACCCCTTGAGTCTTCTACTTTTCAACACATAATATGTACAACAGAACTATGTTGTGCAGTCAAAGAGCTAAAGGCGCTAAATACACCTGCTTTTTACAAGCTGAAGTTGATGTTTTTTTCAAAAGCAGGACTAATTATCCAAATACAACCTGAGAAACATCATTAATCTACAAATGTCTTCGATTCATGAAATGCCGTCATTACAAAGGGTTCAACATGGGCAGTGGGTCAGGGATGAAAGATTCAGCAAGGGGTTCGCTCAGTGCTGGGATGTGTAATCATTCTCACAGGCTATTAGATGGTAAACGTAGCTGCTGTACACTCAGACCACAACAATACTGACCTGCTGGTTCATTCATTTAAAGGCTATACATCACATTATGTAAATTACAGTACGTATGATTCACATTTTTGGATTTTGTTCAATGTCTTCCTCACACCATCTGCAAAAACAGAGGGCGCTGCTATTTTATGTGACAGTGTCGGCACAATCCCTTCACTTACTACTAGGTGCAGCTAAATACTGGCTGGCCTTATTTGGATGACATCAGTAAATCACTCAGCAGTAAATAACTGTCTCCACTGTCAACAATTGCAAAGGTTAATGTTAAAGTTTGTGTGGCCAAGTGATTTGCTGTCTTTGTGTAGTCAGAATACTGTAAGTCTTTATTCTTCTTTGTACTTTTAAAGTTCAACGAAGACAGAAAACATAGTTGGCCCCACAGGGAATTGGTTATTTTAGAATTTTAAGATAATTGATTATCGATCCCTCACCGGGGAAATTTACAATAATTAGCAATAATTTGGAGATGGGGTCAGGTCAGGAACAGGGAGAATTGTACAGAGCAAAAACTGGGTGAAACAATTTAATTTCCCAGTTTAAATGTTGCAGCCAAATGGGACTTGAACTAACCTTTGACTGATTAACAGTCAGACCTGTAACTGACAAAAAAAATAGAGAACAGAAACAGAAAGTACTCTGCACTGATCGATTTAAAATACAAGTTTTGAAATGACTTTAAGTTTCCCTTAAATACAATAATTCTGACTCAGCAATGCTACCAAATGAGGAATACAGTGTCACTGGGATCACAACTCATCTACAAAACTGAAACAAGTCAGCATATTTCACCGCAAACACAATGCTGTTTCAATATGTGCATTTCAACATGTGCATCTATTATAATAACTGCAGTGGAAAATCTTTCTGTACCTTATGGTCTTATCCTCAGAGGTCTGGACTACAGAGGAGCTGGCTGGCACCCAACACACATGAGTCACCTATACAGCAAGACAGCAAAGTGGAAAAGTTAACACCTGGGATGATATGAACACAAGTCTGATTGAATACCTTTGAATAGGAACACACCTACGGCACTCTGACACGCTTTAAAGAACTCTTAGGATAAGAATGTGAGCACACAAAAGAGCATACTATCATTCTCACCAGGTTTCTAGAGATGTTGTGTCTCTGTTCACATTTTGCAGATTCTATATCCCACAGACACATCCAATTATCACGAGAACCGGTGCACAGCTTCCTCCCATCTATAAAACAGCAAAAACAGTTTCCAGACAGATCATTGATTTGATATTGTTGCTAGTGTGCAATTAACAACTGAGAAAATTGGTCTTGATTTCAATAAAACTATTCTGAGTAAATCAGTAATTATAGCTAGCATCAAGTTTCTTAGTAATTAAAACATCTCAGACAACAAACACGTGGTTCAGTCAAGTTGAAATTAGGTGTTTATCACTGTTTGTATACAGGACAGGTAGAGGATTGATACATTGCTTCATCTGCAACATGAACATGAGATCAGTTCAGAGAGTTTCCCTCATCCTTCAATACCATGTGACATGTTGAGAAGTCAACCCCAGCATGATCGTGAACAGTTTTGTTTTTACATCACTTCTGTTTATTTAGTGCTGCAATGACTAATATGATATTCAACTAAGTGTACAAATGATTCTTTCTTCTGTAGAAGGAGAAGCTGATCGTCGTGCTGCTCTGCTTTTTGTTTGATATGTGTGACTGTGTTCAGAGAGAATCACAACTTTATCTTAAGCAAAATAAAAAGCTTTGCAACAATAGTTCAAAAAAATATTTCCTCATAAATGATGAGACTCATTGTGTGTAAGTGTCTGTGTGCGTGTACCAGGGCTGACAGCAAGTCCATTGACCACCAGCTCATGACCACAAAATTCCTGAATGTGTTCGTCGCCCTGGTTTAGGTCCCACATCAGAACCGTCTTGTCCCGTGAGGCACTGAAGATCCACGTGCTACCTGGATAACAAACCACCTGATGGAAAAATGGAGGCAGAATTTAGAGCAGATAAGACCAGAGGATGTGTACATGTGAAATGTGTAACAGCTCTGAGCAGCGTCACACTTTTATCAGTGTGCGCACACGCAGTATTGACGTTACCTTGGTAACCTCTCGGTTGTGACCCTGGAAGGACTGACACATCCGGCCTTGTTTCCAGTCATACACCACCACGGCCTGCAGGAGCGGACACACACACACACACACACGACACACTAATCACTAAACTGAACAATATTTAGGCCTTTTACTTTTTGTGCTATAATAATTTTAAACAGTTGAATTTGTGACCTCAAACCTTCTAAAGGTCAGACATTTTTTTTTTGGCTACTTAAAAATCAATACAGTGAATTAATTTGGGATGTTTGAACTAATTTACTACTAATGCAGGTTAATTTACCTGGTCAGTCCCACCAGAAACACACAGGTCTGGGCTGAGATTGGTCACAGTGTTGACGGATCCATGATGGGCAGGCTCATACTGCACCACTTGACTGTCAAAGGTATTATCTGCCTTCTCCCCTTGAGACGCCCTGCACAGAAAACACATATAATGTGAAACAATAAACTCCTAAAACAGACAACATCACACTGGACGTATCTAAGACATGTTTTCTCCACATATAAATATTTATATTATATTTATCCTTTCCTATCTTCAGTATCACTCCTGAAGAAAGTAACTGATTGAACCTTTAATTATAGTACCTTTGTCTTATCCTCTATTGCGATTTTATACCGAAATAAGTATTATGTCGCACAAATAATTCCACGAGGGGCTGTCAGTAGTACATGTCTCACCTGTAGAGCTCAGACCTCTTGCGAAACTTGCTCTGTAGTTTACCCATGTCTGCCTAAGAACCTGCAATCACACTGATGCACGGACACACAAGAAGAAATGCTGTCAAACTGTGGGAAAAATCCTGGCTGCACAGGCACCATTAACGTCTATGACTCCCTGTTGTCAGTGCTAATGATGAGGGATAATGATTTGTTCTAGTCCTGCAATAGTTTGGTTCAGCTCAAAGGCTCAGTAAGTGAAATTCTATCTCATAATGGTATTAGTTGCACTGAGCACATATAGTAAGTGATCAGCAGTACACTCATTGATTAAGTATATGCTGCTGCACTATTATATTGTCTTAAATATTAAATACTTCAGTTTGAGCTATCAGTGCTTGGACCTGACAAGTGTTGCTTGCAGTGAGTTACAACTGTAACATCATTCAGGATCATGTTAAGGTTCACTATATATCTACTTTATGTGTATATTTGTTCATACATCTTTGCTGGCCTTGCATAAGACAGACCAGTACAATATGAGATTAAACCAGAGACACAAACACCACTTTCTCACACAGGCACAGCTAAGCTCCTCCTTCAGTATCCTGGCGTACTCCTCAAACAAGCCACAGGAAGGAGAGGACTCAAATCCTATTAGAGCCGCATCATTACTGTCACAAGGAATTAGTCACTCGAAAACACCTGCTATGAACTGTGCTGGCAATCATTATGCAACAACGCCCGAGGGACCCGCTAATGGCGAAAAAAATAAATGTTTGCTGACTCGTGGTACACACACTCCTGTAGAGAACTGGAGCGAGACTCCTTACCTGTCACCGGCAGGTGTGATCGCTGGCTGATGCTCAGGCTGGGAGGCTAGCTCGCTAGCATGCTAACTAATCTTTATCTGTCATGCTAAGAAAGAGGAGTGCGCTAAAACGTGAGTGTACAGACGTTAAAACTTGGTGGAGTAGTTGCTGCAACGACAGCGAAGCGTTTCCCGCAGACTGCCATGATCTTGCGTGGTCCTAACTGCGTGGGAAAATGCCCACAAGTGTCTTTAGACTACAACAGAGACGTCCCTCCCTCCGTAGCGACCATGAGCGACGCTTTCTGGTATCCAGGCGAGGGCGAGGTCACGTGACGCGGGGCGTTCTCTTGCAAAACAAAAGTCTCTTACAAAATAAAAGTCTGATTTACTACGTAGCATTGCTGCAAGTGTATCAGGCGTCATGTGTGCAGTTTCTCTGGCCATGTGTTCACTCTGAATAACTACTACGCTAAACTTAAGTAAAATGCCCCCACTTCCCGAGGTAAGAACCCTCTCCTTCCCGCCCCTCCTGACCACTAGACAGCAGGTCGTTGCTTATAGCGGCCTTACTTATCTAGAAATACCTTGTAAATTTAAACAGAAAAATGTCAAACACCTTTGTTTTCTGTAATGTGTGTGTAAGAGCAGGACATTTCAGGGTTTGAGTTTCAGTACTCCAGCTCCTTTAATGTTAAATTTATGATCAATTATGTAACATAATAATTAACCAGCAGTGAAAGGTGTATCCTTATCAGGCTAAAAGCTGACTAGCTGACTTTAAGTTAAGCTAATAGCATGAAGCTATATTAGCTTGATGCAGCACTAGCTAGCTAGCTTGAATTCTTTGTTAATGTCCGCTGTGTCAATATATCAACAGTAATAAAGTCATGGCAAAGTTACAGCGTTTGTCCCAGGCCCCTCAATTCTACATTAATTGATAATATTCAAACTATGTTTTTTTAAAAATTGAAATATTATTTCTGTATATGTTATCTAACAGTTAAGTTGTAGGTAAAGTAATAATAAAGATAGTCTTCTTAACCATAATTAACAAGTTATTGTTGATCAAAATGGCTTGTGATATAAGTTTCCGCCCTTTTCAAGATTTTAATAAAAGTAAAATCTTGAAAAGTAGAGTCTCCCTTAAGTTGTAGGGTCACTTTTTAAGATTTCCTATTTAGTTTTATAATAACAAAGCTACAGTCTGTTATGATTTAATAACGTTCTCTAATTGTTCACTTAAGCATATTTCTCATGTTTTCCTATTATGTTGATATTCAAGAAAATAAACATAGTTCTCAAGGGGGGCACCTTACCAAGGTTCACTGTACTACCAGTATTCAAATCTGAATGTGTTATGCATACTTCTGCTCCTTTTGTGTTGTCTCTACCATGTAAGCACAATGCCAGCTGAAATAATTGTGTGTCAGAAGGATCTTTTTCAAAACAGGGCCTCAAAATTAGATAGTATAGCAGGAGCCACCCTCCCAGGCAGGAGCAGCTGATACTGTGCCCATATTACCGTATTCCTAGACAAAAATCACAAGCTACAGTGCCACAAACCTGCTGCTACACAGTCCTGGTAATCCGGCCTACTGAAGACACTATACACTGATGCTGTCTGTAGTTCACTGAAAAGGCCTAATCTGACAGTTCATGCTTCTGTTGCCACACGTCACAGACGGCTGCAAAAAAGGTAATATGTTCTTGTTTTTGGTGGGAATTTAGATCCAAAATCCAAGAATGTGTTCAGTATGTACATGCCTGGCAAATTTAAATGAAGACAACAAGTTTGACTGCAGTCAGCTAATGAAATATATCATTTTAAATTATATGCTTTTCATTGCATGGAACATGATTTGTTTAAAGAGAAGTCTCCTCTTTAAATACAATTATGTTGAATATGTCTTAACAGGTTAAAATGTTACTGACCTGTGGCTGAATGTCCCTTTAGAGAGCTGGTTGGTTGACCTTCATTACAGACACAGGCTGAATGACTCCCCAAGCGACAAATCTGGGACAGATCAGACAGGTCCCAGGACAGCTAGCATTAATTCTATTAGAAACATTTGACAGTTTTCTTTTCGTGTCAAGTTTTCAGGTTCTTCAGTGTTGCTCTCACTTTTGTCTGCTTGATAAGTACAGTGAGAAAAAAACAAGGCTAGCTCTGACCGCATGAGCTCGATTTAAACAAATGCATCACATGCAATTAGGCACTGAGTCACTGGGATGTCCCCATTTAAATGGTTTAAATGGGCCACTTAGATAGGTTACAATCAACACAATTCAATACCTATGTGAGATGGCCTCAATTCTAACTTTCTGTTTGCAGCAGAGGCTTTAAGTGCATAGCTATAGTTAAACTTTTAAACAAGCAAAGCATGTTATTTCAAGTGTCTTCACTTTGCTATAATCCCTAACTCAGACTTGATGGAGCACGACCCATTTGCCTCGCCCCCACATTTATGTCACACTTTGCTAAAAGCATTGCAATTATGCCGTACAGCAGACCTTTACTGATGCAGTAAAAAAGTCATGGACTTTGTGGGCAAATACCTATCAGCTCATTTCACTACGATTTATGTTTCCATTTGAAGCCTTGAGATAGTGAGAGTAGCGTGTGGCTATTTTTTCAAATTAGGAAGCAAAACAGAAGAGCGCAGAGAAGTGATTTGTAGTAAAGCTAGTATAATAGGTGGACCACAGCCTGTGACCCACCAAGAAAAATAGCTGGAAAAGTTTTAAGGCAGGCATTAAACACAAGCCCTGAAACCAAAACTGCCCTATAAAGCAGGTCTGCACTCATTCTACAGCCATGGCTCTGGATCTTAATTACTGTGTTGTCTGAGGCCCGAGTCCATTCTTATCCTCGCAGGTAGAGGCTGAAAATGACCTGCTGAAATGTGCAAACCCACATGTTGACTTAGAGCACGATGGACCGTCCTTTTGTTAAAGGCACATGCACATGTGATGCATAGTACACAGCGTGGATGCACTGACGGAGGGTGTTCTTTTAACATGAGGCAATCCAGAGCAGTACAATCACAATCTACACACTTCGTATTATAACATGTGACACCAGGAGCTTCAGTAGAAAGAAGCTGGACTTCTGTTTTAGGTGTTAAAGATGTTTCACTTCTCATCCAAGAGGCTTCTTCAGTTCTGTAAGAGAGAAGTCCAGCTGCTTTCTACTGAAGCTGCTAGGATTGCCGTGACCTGGAGGACTGAGAATCTACACAGATCTAACATGTGACCCTGGAAACTATGTTTACTGGACTGGCATTGAGGTGTACACATCGCTGCCTGTGCTAACATGGCTTTTATTACAATCACTGACTTTCAGAAGAGCTGAAGATAATCTAACATTTAGAATCAGTGCTAATACAGTGAATGCTTCAGAAAGTTTTTGCTCAATTCAGGTATGATTAACGCAACCTGAAGAAGAAATGTACCCTCACTGACAAAACAGTAGGAAAAAAGCTCAATCTGTACTTCACAGATTGATAAAAGATTGCATTAGTTTTAGCTACTTACATTTTTTTTTTTAATTTAAAAAGCACTTTAACTAACAGCCCAACAGTCAGCAGCTTCAGGATTGCCTGTGGAGTTGAATTAACACGCCTGTGTCTCAATAAAAATAGAACACAATGACCTTCACAGTTTTACTGCAGTGCTATTTGATTGCATACTGGGTGTTCACGTTATTGTGTCCACTTCACTTCACGTGCATGAATTCAACTTTTTCACATTCACTATAATATTACCGGAAAAAAGAGTTTTCTCCCACAGCTTTAAAAAAAAAAAAAAAAAATGTAAGAGACATGGCTCCAACGTGTCCATTCATACGCATTCTCTAATCCACAGGTTGGGGGGGTATAAATACTTGTGTGGCGTGTGTTTGACGCGACACTCCCCCCTGGTCGATGGGAGGCCGACGTCACCCTGCCAGCGGAGGAGTGGATGGCCTCCGTAATAAAAATACATGAAGAGAATCGAGGAGAAGGAGAAGATTTGGCCGAGTGGGGTGGAAAAGAGGCAACAACACGGCGCGTTTGTTCCCTTTTTTCTTTTTTTTTCCTCATCCAGCTGTCGAGCCCCGCCGCCGGACCCGAGCGCCTTCCACTAAAGAAAACCGAAGCACCGGGAGCTGGGGTTTGTTTTTTTTTTTTTTCCTCCTTCCCCTCCGCGGGGGCACCGAGAGCTCCGGGAATGCCGTTGGTTATGTGTGGCTTTCTTTAGTTTTTTTTTTCCTTTTGAGCAGACACACGGAGATAACTGTACTGTATCCCCAGCCTAGCGGATTGGAGTGAAAGTCCGCCATATTCTGCCTTACCACGCCCGGGAGTCGAGCCACTGGAAAAAAAAAAAAAAATAAGCGGACAGCCTTTTTTTTTTTTTTTTTTTATTCATGTGTTTTCGTGCTCGCCCTCATCCGCTAACTTGAACACGGAGGAGGTGGATTTAGTTGGAAAAAATATCAACATCGGAGACTTTTGGGGGTGGTGGGGGGAGAGAGAGGGAGAGAGAGAGAGAGCTTGTGGCCGGTGGATGACAATGCTTTAACGAGAGGATGTGTCTTAAAGGGATCTGTTGATCATATTGAGACGGGAAAAGCAGATTACACCAATTAAGATCGCACAGATATTCAAGCGAAACCGCTTTGGACGCTATTTATTTCCCCCCACCCTCCTTCCCAATTTTGTCTCCCCTCCTCTTTTTTTTTTTTTTTTTTTTAAGAAAGCGAACCGAAACAAGGGGGAGGGGGGGTTAATAATTTCTCAAATATCTTAATTTTCCTCTCTTCTTTTTTTTTCTCCCCCCTCCTCAATCTGCGCGCGGCTCATTATTAAGGGCGTCCACGCGCTATTTCACCACAAGCAGGCCTGTATGAGGACGTTATTTGGCATTCACAGGCCTCTTGTTTGTTTTTGTTTTTTTGTTTTTTTTCTTCTGTGCCCTGACGAAATCTGGATGAATCACTAAGAGAGGAGGAAAAAAAAATAAAGCCACACAAAAAAAAGTGCGTGTTTGGAAAAAAAAAAAAAAACTGAACTTAAAAAAAAAAAAAAAAAAAAAAAAAGGAGAGAGAATGACCCTGGAATCCATAATGGCGTGTTGCCTCAGCGAGGAGGCGAAAGAAGCCAGACGGATCAACGACGAGATCGAAAGGCAGCTCCGCCGGGATAAGAGGGACGCACGCCGGGAGCTGAAACTGTTGCTTCTCGGTAAGCTCGGCAGGGGGAAGAAACACGGGAATTAAAAGGCACAGGAGGAGTGTGTGTGTGTGTGTGTGAGAGAGAGGGAGAGAGTAAGAAATCTCTCTCTCTCACTTTAAAAAGAACCTTATTGGTCAGGGCTCTATTAATGGGGCTTCCCTCCTTAGTGAAGTTGGGGTGCTTGACATTTGTGAGTGAGTCCAGTGCACAGATTGGCAGGAGATGCTGCTCAGTTTTTGTTTAAAAAGAGGCCTGCATGACTCCCAGTGTGTCCAAAAGCCACCTGATTTGAATAACTGTGATCGAGGAAAACAAATGCCACTTTTCCCTCTATGTGCTCTTTTACTTTTTTGCTTGGCACAGCAACCTGTGCAGGCCTTACAGGGCCCGTCCAGGTGGTGAGTGTGTTGTGAGTGTGTCAAATGTTGCCTGGGCCAAAGTCTGCGCTTTATTGGGCGTAATCAAGGCGGTTTTGCAGCTCGCCACCTAACCCTGGCAATGATTATATCGCAGGTGTCAGTCTATAGGGAAGGCTTTGCTGTTCTGTGGTACGTGTGATGGTATGCTTCTGTTACTATATGAAGAGTTCGTTTGCAAAAACTTCATCTTTCACTAAGCTTCAGAAAACCCACTTTTCCAAGACAGTATCAATCAAACTTATCGTCATTCCTGCTGAGTCAGATCCACTCAGCTTCAGTTTGATTGCTATGATCTGAAGCAAACACCAAAATAAGTTTTCTGAAAATCTACAAAAATGCAAATGAACTCTTCATATACATTCATTTTAAACAAACTTACTGAACACAGCAGCCATAGTTGAAGTAGATGTTTGGCTCACCAGTGCCCTATGATTTGATCACAGTATTATAGTTCTCTGATGTTCAGAACTCATGTAAGAATCTCGGTACCTGTGCATAGTCAGCGTTGTGGAAGTAGTGGGAGTCGGGTTGTGGAGGGGGGGCATTGTTGAGAAGTATTAGTCATACTGGAGAAATGTGAGGAAAACAAGTCATCTACTTACCATCCCCGTTTTTAATTAGATTTTCAACAAAAAGCACATTAGATGTGATGGCTGTGGTCCTGGAGAGTGGTGCCAGAGACCGCTCTTCCTGATCCTCACTTCCTTAGAAAATGCACAAAGGAGATGGTGTACAGAAAGCTGGACATCTAGGTCCTTAGATCCTCGTCTTGTCTCCTGAGGGAAGTTAAAAAAAAAAGGGGGGACTGAATGAGGGAGCTTTTCCACTTTTGCCCTTCTGTTAGCACAAAATGATGAAATGAGTTCCACTTAACTGGATTTGAAGGAGCTGACTGCCACCACCCTTGTTAAATATGAACAAATAATTGTGTTGTTGTTCCCCCTTAATCTCTCTTAATACCCAACAACTCGCTCATTATGCAAACGCATAAACAGCCAATGACCTAATCAAAGACTCAGAAGTGGTGACGTGTAAGATTGAGGACGTAGCCGTATTCCTCACAAGACAATATACTGTATTTATCAAATTATTAGTCACTGTCCTCATGTGATACCAAACATTTGAGAGGCCAAACCAGTGATTTCATGTTTATGATTCATATCAATGCTTATTTTCGTGTAGTAGCTGCTAATCAGTCGGCCCTATCGCTGCAGGCTATTATATTTCAGCGGTTTAGCAGCGTGCCTCTAATGACAGGATGCTCACAATTAATGTCTTTAAAAATCGAAGCCTAGAAAACACACAGTAAAATCCATTAAGCGGAGTAAAAAGTTTCCTGCATTGGTGAACCATATGTGCGGTTTCTCTAACACAGAAAACACATTTTCCGAAATGAGAAAGTAACAGGGCGTAGATTTTTTACTTCATCCGGCGTTCGTGTGCGCCGATCCTGGACGGCGCTATAAACGCTTTTCTGCTGAGTTGTGTTGTCAGGGGTTGTAAGAGAGATTTAAGGGGTGGCGTGGAGAGGCTAGCTGGAGTATAAATAGGAAAAGTAATGTGGTCAAGGCCAAACTGGGACAACCGACCTCATTAACCCTTGGGAAAAGTAGAAGCATATATAAAGAATAGGCATGAGCTTCTAAAACAATTATGACTGAATTCTCCATTTTGTTTCAGAGCTCATTAAGCTCTGAATTCCACGTGAAAAGCTTGTGTTTGTGTGTATCGCTGCACATGGACGCCATCGCCTCTACTACAAATGGTTCAGTTAACCAGATGAGGCTGCGTGTGCTCCGTATGGATCCGGTAACCCATATTCTGTCAGTGGATTGTGGGTTTTTCAAACTCACTAATTGCTTTGTGTGTCCCCCGCGGGACTCGAGCACAAAACTCTCCAGTCAAGTTTAGAAGCTCCTCAGAATGCCCATCCCTTGATTTTTCACAAATCATCTCGGCTTTTTAAACTTCACTTAGGATCTTTCGGAGCTGCTAATTGCTTCATGGCCGCAGGGACTATTGTATGTTGAAACAGCTAATGAGAGCGCTGTGAGCATTTAATGTGCATCTAATATCCACAAAGAGGTCATAAACCAACAACAGAAGTGGAGAAAGTTTACTCATCTAACCTGGGAATATGACCAACGATGCTTTACTGGAGTCGGCGTAGAAAAGTCGTTGCAGTGGCAGAAATGTCCGATGCTGTTTTACTCGGAAGCTGTCCAGAATACAAGTAGTTTAATGCTTGCTAAAAAAGTCGGGAGAGGCTTCGCTGAGATTGGCGACTCAGGAAAAGTCCAGTTAACAAATCGATGTGGAGCAAAGCAGAAGAACGTCGAGGGCGTCTCAGCAAAAAAACCAAGCAAAATCGATCTCCAGCAATTCATCAACATGCACACGTTCATTGAAAATTCAATCACTGTCCCGATCCACTAGAACATCTTGTACTTCATTGTCCTTTGGTTCATTTTGCGAAGTCCTCTTTGAGCATGACATCAGGTCTGGAGGGAAGTAAAGCGACAGAGGAAAGGAAGGGAGAAGAAAGTAGCTCCAAACCTGTGCAGACTCGGGATGTAGAAGATGAATGGATCTGGGTATAGATGACTTACTAACCAGAGACGGAAAAGATGCACGATACATTTCCTAAAACTTTATTTAACAATCATAGCTTTACACACGATTTAGCACATCAGCTACAAATTGTGTATATTTTGCTGCCCACCCTTACTGAGTTAACTGCAGTAACAACAATTTGGAAATTCAGGATGAACAGTTCAACATTTAAACACTTACTGAACATTTTGTAGCAGCATGATAATGATGTAATTCAGACTCTACAGGATGATCTGACATCCAGCACGTTAAAATCAGCCACACAGCAGTAACTTATTCAACCAACCAAACTTCCATGTGTTTTTTTTGTTTATGTGTTATTGTTTTGTTATTTTTCTGAGTTTCCTAAATATAATATTCTACTATATTTTGCTCAAATGAGCGTCTTGTACAAACATAAAACTACTCATTCACATTGTGCGCTCTCAGGACGGTGCTATGGGATTTATTATTGTGATTTCAGTTCACATCATATCATAACCCAGACAAATACCAGCCAGAGAATGTTTATTTAACAAAAGCAAAATGGCACAGAGTGTGTTTGTCAGTGGCATAGCTGTGGGTGCATGGTCACAGTGCAGTGAGAGGTGCCGTAAGGTGCAGCAACCAAACCAAACATAAGCAAAATGTGGTTGCAGCCACAGTCAGGATAGAGAGAGAGCGAGATCACACTGAGGGGTTGGGCCTTTTATAACCAAGACAGCACCAGGCCCAAGAGCTCTGGACAGGCAGACCCGCCCACTCCAGCCTCCAGCGCCTCAATAACTTAAAAAAAAAAACCACCCTGCAAACTATGAAATGCCCCCGATATATCCAAACCAACCTACCGGACAGGGCCGTCATGATTAACTCAAGTCATTATCTTACATTAACTTTAAAGTTTGTTCAAAGTTCACCTCAGGTGTTGCTTTATGCCCACTGAGGCCAAAAGTGTTTGGATACCCTTGAGCAAGATTAACTACCTCTATTTTCACCTGTACAGGAATAACCTGGATTGTTTTCTTTACCAGAGCTGAAACGATTAATCAGTAATCCATTAATAGAAAATGTATCGGCAGTTATTTTTCCTTTCAGGCATTTCAAGAACTTTTTTTGACAGACATAATGTCACTTTTATCTCAAATTTGTGGCATTTTGGATTCAAACTGATTTTTCGATCAGAAAAATCAAAGATGAAAATAGCGTGCGTGTGTCACAGACGTCTTGAATTAGCGTCGAGGTCGGAAACATCTGTTGACAGTCAAATGGGTTAAACATGAATAATTATCCTGCTTGTCTACATCTGCTAAATTAATTTCAAATTGCTCAATTACTAAAGTGGCACAGCCCAGCTCCAATCCTTAAGAGACCGTCGGGCCTAGTTTTTGATGCCTGTCCCCCTTTACACACATGCATTTTCACATACACAGAGAAGTGGGGTACGCTAATGGAGTTCAAAACATCGGAAGAGGCCAGAACATTTAGGAACAACCCAGATTATGGAGCTACTTCGCAATAAAAATGATGCTAACTTGTGTTCACAGTTGAACAACTTTTTGAGTTGCAGCACGTTTAGTCGGCAGCTTCACAATTTAAGCCGTGCAGCTCGTCTGTCATGAACATTTGTAAAAGCGTCGAGCTGCCCAATCACCGCCAGCTGCTTTTATCAGCCAAATAAATGCTGTGGGAACTTTGTCAAGGCTCCGACTGAACAAAGTCCACCTCAAACTTTTTAACAAGCCTTTAGCAAACACATGGTTGTAATTGTGAGAGGAAGCACTAAAGATGTCTTATGATTCCTGTATGAATACGACCTCGTTAGCAGCGCTGATGAATAGTAAATGGCAGAATTTGGGGATGAAAATTGAACCGATTTTTCGAAATTTAAATTTGTCAGGGATCATAATGCAGTTAATGCGGAACATATTATCAGTGTTTACTCCAGTGTCAAGCAGGTCAGAACGCTGGCAGCTTCTAAAAGTGTATTTTTTTAAAATGATTGTTCATTATTGACATCTTTCCTCAACAAAAACATTCACACTGCGAGTGCTGCTGGAGAACATGACACTACGGTCCAGTAAGATACTTTGGGACATCGCTGAATTCTTGTGCGCCTGCCATTAACGCTGAATAGATTTGACACTTACAGGAGTGAGTTTCTTTGTGAAAGTGAAAAACAAAACCAGGCTCCTCAGATTATTTCTACCAACAGTTTCATCTGCTTAGTAAAGACGGAGTATATTTTTCGGGATGATTTAATTCATTCACATGTTAAATGGTCTATGACTGTAGCTCCACACGCTTGATCTATAACCTTGTGTCCTGTGTCGATATTTTTAGTCGTCAATTTTCGATTTGTTAAAAGTATTTACTGTACAATTTATAGAGTCAATGCGACAATAAGGAATAGAAGCTTTTTTTTATTATTTGGTCACATAAATAAAAAGAGCGAACAGCAAAATTCCTGATTGTACGCTTGTCGGTATGTAATTTAATGATACCGTAGTGATTTTGTAGCAATCGTACAACAATCCTATTGCTCTTTATTTCAAATGAGAACCAAGCAATGTCTGAATTTAGTTGAACTCTTGTCAGGAGCAGGGCTTAAAACCAAGGTCCAGTACTGCATGTTAAAGAGGGATAAATCTGAAGGGGAAACATGTTGCAGTTAGCATGCATTAGCAAAATCATTCGCAAAAGTGAAAGCAGTTCCGCGGCCACGCCCCTGCCTCTTGTGTGATTTTTGAATAGCTCAAGTTGAATCCATTTCTTTTTCACTCTTGGTTTCAGAAGTCAGGTATTTCTGTGCATGTCTGACACTGATGCCTTTCTTGAAATGTTCCGAGTCTTGTCTATTAGCATTTAACAACAGCCTTTTTAAAGATCTTTTTGATTACCTTTTTTTAAGCTTTGGTTGTGAATATCTGGCAGCTAACAGTCAAGTTTCAAATATCCACAGTTAGACGAAGGTACCAAACACAGGCAACAGAGCAGGCTGTGTTCTTTTGTTGGTCTTCTCTTTCCCCCCACTCTGATAATGTTCATGAGTCCTGGGGTTTGGCACACTGGCCTCAGATATAATGCTGATCCATACACGGCAACCTCAAACACGGGTTAAACCCGGGTCACCGCATTGATTTGAAAGGTGACTCAGCAGCCGCTAATGGCCGGCACACACTCATACCTGGCATATTTGCTGCGTCTGTCTTTTTCACTGTCTATTATACTCGTTGCTGTAATAGAAAAGATCCATTAAGACACACATTTGGTCGCACGATTCTGAACTATTTTGGAACGGCGCTGCTTCTCGTTTCCTGCTGCCGGAGGGAACCTGTGCAAAATGCTGTAGTGTTGAAGGAGAGTGCTTTACCTTTATCTGTGTTTGAACAGATAAGGAGATCAGAACACAAGAGCAACCCGGATCCTTTGTGCCTGTGCAAACTCAAAACCCACTGGCACAGTTAATTTAAGTTTTTCGGATTACTCACTGTTCCAGTTTGCCTGTTTTAAAAAATAGAATGCTTCTATTTTCGGGGGTGGCTGCCGGAAGGCTTTACGTCTTGTTAACACTGTCGGCGGCCGTGGCCCAGGTGGTAGAGCGGGTTGTCCACTTTCCCGATGGAAAGCAAACATTTGGGGGTGTGTGTGCATTAGAAACAGCATTTTGTAAAATGTAGATAAGGTATATTAGTGTGGACCATTACTTTGCCATCAGGGTGATCCAGTGGCCAAGCAGTTGGGGTGCATGTGTCCTAAGCAGTGAGTCCTCAGCTAAGTTCTCGTGCATCTCACCACCGCTACCGTCCAATCCTCAACACTGTTTGCAGCCTCTGACAACTATTTGTCATTGAAGTTGAAGTACTAGTTAACCATAAAACTCCCAAACATTCACTGATACAACAAGGTGAACATGCCAAAGTGCACCAAGGGTAACTTGTAGCACTAGTAACAAGTAGAACCTGAGTTATTCTGGATTTTTGAGGCTGATGCTAGTTTAAGAAATCCTGATATCACTATATAAGCTGAACCTGTTTATATAAGCTAAAGTTTTATTGAAAAAGGGAAACGGATGGGGCCAATGTTTTTCGACTTTCCAGCAATGTATTTCATAAAGTAGTTAGCAACTTAGCACGAAGCTTAACTCTTCACCATTGTACGCTCAGCTGGGACTCTGCTACATGTGCTGCAGACACCATTTCTGAACTCACCCAACTTTTTTTGTGCAGTATACTCTGTAAATAAAAGGTTTTACATCAGCGTATATCAGACAACAAATAGGCCAACCGATGCATGGACAGGGCTCTACTCACAAGCAATTTAGCATCTTATTGAAAATCAAAAGTTTGAGCGTGTATGAGCTTTACCTTGGGTTGTGAAAAAGTTTTTTTTTTAAGTTTACTTTGTCGAAGAAATTAGCAACATATGGTGCTAAAACTAGCATAGCTTTACTTTGTTATTTCAAAAATACCTTAACCAGCTGAATAGGCAAGTTGAGTTATTTGAAAATAGATATGTTCTGATGCTTCTGTGTACGTAGCAGCATTTCCTCTGAAGTCGGATTTTAAGGTCAAGTGTTCCTCCCAAGAGCACTTTGTGGGTAATTGTGCAAAGTCCAGTTTCATCAATATTCCCTGCTCATTTTATTCAGGATTCCAAATTCACAACAATAGAAAAGCAGTTTCGTGAGAGTGTTTTAGTACTAGTCTGGGCTGTGGCTTAACTGTGCACCATGAGAAGGTGCTTTGGCTGACAAAGAGTTTCTATTATACAGTAACAACGGAGTCCAACATACCCAGACTTGTATAAGAGAGACTGTCGGCTTCACCGGACTGCAGCACACATCTCCTGATCGCTGACATGCGTGCACACACATACGCTCCTATATAAGATATTTAAGAGCTAGCGGTGAGGTAAAGTTAGACAGTTCAGTTGGTCTGCCAAGATTCTCAATGAACCAAAAAGAAACTACACCCCCAGTTCTTCACACCCAAATAGTTCCTGTCATCACTGAGAGGAGAGAGATGTTGTTCTTGGTCTGTCACCAGAGCAAGCAAACAGGCTGAGAGGAAAGTAGCCAGCACATAATATTACATGTGTGAGTGACTAAGAGCACGAGTGAGCGAGTACATACTGTATGTCTGTGTGCATGTACTGTGCATCTGTGTATATAAATGTGTGCGCACATGTTTCTTCCAGCACAGGATGTTATGTTACAGAATGCCATTATTCATCTGTTCTCCCTGTGAAAAAATTCCCACACACATTTACATTTTTTTTATGTTTTTAGACTCATTTTCATTCCCACGGACACATTTTCGTTTTCAGGGTTTGCTTTCCTATACTTGTAGTAATTTTTGGGAGTTTTTTTTTTCTGTAGTAACGGTGAATCAAATGCAAAAAGGGTTAGTCATAGTAATGAAACCATAGAGAACTGGTACCTTACTCTCTGAGCTGTATCTTTCAGTGTATTTAGGATTATTGTTTTGGCTTTATGGGCCCCACCACTCTTATAAACCCTTCTAGACACAGCAGGCAGCTGCTGTCAGTGAAAAATCTCTGGTAGACCCACTCAGTACCGAACCGCAGACGGACAAAGGTAGTGACTAAATGCTAAATATGCAGCATTTACTCGTCTTCTCAATATTGGTAGAGATGAAAAAAAGCAGAATAAGTAGTAAATATTATTCATCACATGGTCAAACACTTGGCTTCAAATGAGTGCAAGTGTTACCCCATGTCCTCTGGTTGTATAAATAATCAACTGGTTCCTTATAGGTTTTCAGTAACGTTATAAGATAATGCTGTTTTTTGTCTTGTTTGGACTTCCCCAAAGTATGCAGCTTCATTAACACCACCATGTCCTTTTTGATGGCATTTTTGCTTTGAGGATTGTTTCTATGGCATACGGGTGATGTTGACATATGAATCAGCAAGTGTTTCTTTGAAAATTGATGCCAACACCACAAGATTTGTATTTCTCATCCATCGGGTAAACAAACATTGTGCTGAATAAGACGTTATAAGATGCAGTTTTTTATTTTGCCTTCAACTGCCCTGTATCGCAGGTTCACTTCTCGTGTTTTGATTTTTAGTAGCGAGTGAACACATGCACTTGAATCCCAGGTTTGCACCTTCAAATGAGAAATTGTGACGCTTGCATTTGACAGTTGCAGCAGGATCAAATGCTTTTCATATCAGTATTGGAATCTGGAAACTGGAAAATCCAACATGAGGCGCAACTGATCCTCACCCTGGATTGAGTCCTGACTGGTTACACTCTGTATTGGTGCAAGTGACTGACCAATCAGCTCTCTACTTGCTTAACTTGAATTGGAAATACAGGTTTACTTCTGTTTTTCTCTTCTTTTCCAGGAAAGTTTTAAATGACTGAATGTCCATTTAGGAAGCATGCATGCTGACTCAGAAGATTAAATGTGTTGTCTGGCTAAATGAAGCCCAGCGCAATTCTACAAAACAAATAAACTCTTGCTCCCCTTTTCCTGTCCACTCTCTCTCAGGCACTGGAGAAAGTGGGAAGAGCACATTCATCAAACAGATGAGGATCATCCACGGCGCCGGTTACTCCGACGAGGACAAAAGAGGTTTCACCAAACTGGTCTATCAGAACATCTTCACAGCCATGCAGGCCATGATCCGAGCCATGGAGACGCTCAAGATCCCCTACAAATATGAGCACAACAAGGTAAATGAGAGCCTTTCACTCCAGCCATTTCAAATTCCCCAACTGAAATGACAATGGCAGTCGAGGGCGATAAATAGTTTGAGAAAGGCGGTATGAAACGACCACAGCATGCTTGTGTATTTTTAGAGTGGTGTCTATCTTCTTTGGAACAGCCATCCATAATCATTTCCTGTCCTTTTTAACACTTCCCGTGTCCTTAAAGCGCTCCGTCACACCCTGGTGTTGGTGCCGTCGTGTTTCTGCGCGCTCAAATCCATGTGTGCGTTTACACACAAGTACATATATGCAAATATACAAGAGACCTGCCCTTAACTACTCACCCAAATTTGACCTCACTTTCCATAATTTTCACTTCAGCTGATCCTTTTTTCATTTGTGTGAATTACCCTTGCAGTCATACTGTAGGGAGCTGTTACAGTGACCTCTTACTCACAGTTTATCCCCCGTGAGAGTGACAAATGAAAGGAAATGGTGCGTAGGAGTCATCACCTTAGCAACACCTATAATAAATCAGACTGTTTCAGGTGACAGCAGACCACGCGCCTCAGTTTCTCAGTGCCAGGCCAGCAGTCGGGCCAAACAATTGCAGGAAGGTGTTGGTTTTGGTTTTGAGACTAATTTTTTCCTTGCTATCCTCAATTCCAATCATAATCATAATTAAGAACCACAATTCATGATACACAAAACAGAACAGCCATTTCAAGGTTGACTTGATCAGTCACTTTTTATTAATGTTGTTATCTTCTTAACCCTCTGAATGCGTTTTGGGTTTTTTTTTTTTTTACTTCTCCTGTCACATTTTTAGCCACTGTGGGCCAGTTTTTGATGCAACATAAAGTCCTGCAACAGCACAGACATGGCTCACAGTTCACACAGTTGTAATGCCACATAAATCCTAAAAAGGTGAAAAATAAACAACTAAAGTTTCATTTCTTTGATTGAAATGTGAACAAACAGATGTTACCAATGATGGCAGAAGTGGTGATTCTGCATACTTGGATACTTTACAAACTACTTGTTTCCATGCTTGTCTGCTCTGTGTACACACAGCCTGCAGTTCAACCCAGGTCAGCCGAAAAGTCCCAGAATTGTTGTGACGTGACTCTTTGCTGCAGCTGAATCACTAATAGCTTCATACTGAGGAGTGTGGTCTATTTTTGGCAAATGTTTGAACAATACATGTGGAATGAAGCAATTTGAAGATTTTTTTTTTTAAATTTTCCTGACTGAACGGCTCGTTTCTGACTCTGATTATTAGTGTTTTTGGGAGATAACTTGCCTGTCGAAGTCACCAGCAGGTTTTGGCGTTGAGAGGGTTGAACACATCTGGAAGCAGACAATTTGCTATTGGCTCCTTTTCATTGTATTTGAGGAAAGAATGTGCAGAAACGTTCTACTTTTTTGGCTGCATTACTTCTTTAGGTGCTGATTCTTACTTAAAATATTGCTGAACTATTATGCATTCGATATTCGTCACATCATTTGATGAATGCGCTCAATGATAATCGACATCAGAAGGGACTATTGGGCATTTCTGTATATTTAGGGAGTAGATTTCTGATGGATCTTAGCCAGGAGATGAGGTGCAACATACCAGATGCCACCTGATATTGGTTGAATTTCAGCTACTGCATTATGTACTTTATGTTTATGGTTTGGTTACAGCTCAACTGGTTTAATTCTTTAACACTGTCAGCACTGAGTGTACTAGAGACACAACATTTAGGACATGCGGTATCAGTTTCACAATGTCGACTAACACATCTAAAGAAAAAAGTTCTAAGACAGTGGAGACACATCACAAACTCCTGTCCATCAAGCGTGCATTAGCTACCACTTTGTGCAAACTGTGAGATTTAAAATGACACGACGACTTGGATTTAACTTCGGCAGGTGCTTCAATCTCTGGTGCTTATTTCCGTGCTTGCTTTCGCTTCCCGTTGTGCATGCTCATGAAGAATGAAACTGAATGTGCACTTTGTACGTTTTATAACCCGCTTTCAACACACGTCTATTTTAAACCAATTTACGAAAGGAGATACAGATTTCAGGTTTTAATGGAAAGTTTCGTCCCATCCCTGCCTTGTACTTCATTGCGCAGCAGTTCTAGTAACTCACACTGCACATCCAGTATCTGCTCTGTTAGAAAAGCCAGTTTTAGGTCAGAGGCTAAAAAGACAATAAGTAGAATGAATTATCTGTTCGATGAAATCAGAGTTATGTGTACAGTGAAGCTACATACAACAAAACGACTGGAAGCGCGCCACACTAGACACAACATCCTTTTGCTCCCGTATGCATGCAGCTAAAATGGGAAGTAGTTTATGTTTGACAAAGGAGTTCACTGACATCACAAAGGAAGTGAAAATGAAACCCGTCTCTTAAGTTTATACTGACTTTCTCTGCATTTGTAGGAAATGTCATTAACGTGGGCTTATAGTCTTATCAAGTCCAATCATTAACGCAGGTCGTTGTTGGCAGACCTTAACCATCATGGAACAGGGTCTCCAGATCTGGAACTACGTGATCCACACTGAACACACAAAATTGGTTAAAAGTCTGTAGTGATGAGTTCAAACAGTAATCACGCAGTCTTCCTATTGAGCTGCAGGTGTTTGTTAAAGGGGATTTCTGTATTAACTGTGTAGATTCATAAAAGTTTGATCAATCAGGGTTGGATAGTGGCTCTATGGATGGCTGTCATGTATAATATATGTGAATAAAACCTTCGTGCTAATGCATTGCTATCCTGGAAACTGATCATTCAAATTCACCTGTCACATTCCATACGGCCCTTGTTGTTGTGTGTCTGCTCCCACACTGATGGGAATTTTTCTGATTGAATCTATGATTGGGAAAATCTAATTTAGCATAAATGAAAATGTGTTGACATGCTCTGCATCACAACAAACACAGCAGCTGAGCGTTACTAGGCCGTGCTAGGTTCACTTCTTGCTAAATGGTTTTTTACAATAAAGCTGCTGACATGAAACCATGAATGTATTATTATTTAATCATAAAGCAAAGCAGCACCGTACAGCCTGTGAAACAGTTTCAACACTCAGGCACATGTTGATCTCTTGCCATGGGACACAGGAGAGTTTTAATGGGAATCTGGGCCGGCAATACTTCCCCCTTAATAGGCCCAGTGGGATTTGAGCTTCAAATATTAGGTCCATGCTGAGCCTGGGGGTGCAAAGAAACCTCTAGATATAGAATATGTGAGAAAATAAACCGGCGATAATTAGGACTGCATAACCTGTACTGTGATTGTTTTTTTTCTCCATATTATTGAATACTTGAGGAAGTTTTGATGAAACAAGTTTGTGTTATTCTTTGGTTCACTTAAATCATCACACTTTTTTCCCCCGCCAGGGTAACGCCAACGTCGTGAGAGAGGTGGACGTAGAAAAGGTCTCCATGTTTGAGAACCCTTACGTAGATGCAATCAAGAGCTTGTGGAACGACCCGGGCATCCAGGAGTGTTATGACCGAAGGAGGGAGTACCAGCTCTCAGACTCCACTAAATAGTGAGTTGAAAACAGTTCAGGTGTCAGACTCTTAAGCTCAGTGGGGTTTGGTTCAGGTGAAATAGACTTTCTTTAAAATAGAAGCTGTACTGTGACTGTGACAAATCCTGCATTGTTTGTATTCTCTGCTTCTTTAGTTACCTGAACGCGTTGGACCGGATCGCAGAGCCGTCCTATCTTCCCACCCAGCAGGATGTGTTGAGGGTTCGAGTCCCAACTACGGGCATTATTGAATACCCATTTGACCTGCAGAGTGTCATATTCAGGTGAGCTCTTTGAGAGACATTTGTTGTTTGTAACTACGGCTGTGGGCTGCAAGGTGGAGCGGTGGTTAGCACCATTACCTCACAGCAAGAGGGTTTGCATCCCGGGATCTTTCTGCATGGAGTTTGCATGTTCTCCCCGTGCAGCGTGGGTTCTCTCTGGGTTCTCCAGCTTCCTCCCACACAGTCCAAAACCATGCTGAGGTTAATTGGTGATTCTAAATTGTCCATAGGTGTGAATGTGAGTGTGCTTGGTTGTCTGTCTCTAAGTGTGGCCCTGTGATAGACTGGTGACCTGTCCAGGGTGTCCCCTGCCTTCACCCTAAGTCAGCTGGGATAGACTCCAGCCCCCCGTGACCCCAGTGAGGATTAAGTGGTGCATAGATAATAGATGGATGGAACTACAGCTGAGGAAGTCAGCAACAACACAACGTTAAATGAATTGTTGTTTGGCCCTGATAGCCACTTATATAAAGATAATGATCATCTTCAGCTACAACTGACGTCATGAAAAAGAAAATGTTTTATTGATTCATTTACACAACAGCAAATGTGTATGTTGTAGATGGTACGTGCGTTTACTCTTTTATAGTTTTGAGATGTTGTCGTTTTACCTGAGGTCTCCTCCAGAACCTTCAGAAAACAACTATTGTACTTCTGACCTCAAATATGTTTATCCTCATACTAACAAATTACATCATTAATGTTCTATATGCAAGGATTATCTTAAGATCATCAACTATTTAAAAAAATCTGATCTTTTGTTCATGTTTAATGAATAAAGCAGTGTTTAAAATGTGATGGAGCATTTCTGTCATTGTGGTATTGCTGCTCCGACTCGTGATGTTTTTGTTTTTTTTTAACTTAATCACACCATTTCTTACCTCATAGAGTTCCAGTAAAACACTGAGATGGTCCTTTCACTTTTGATTCTTAAGTACTTCAGCAAATTCCCCTCGTCTTTAGTTTCACTTTAGTAGAATTGCGTTGGAAGGAAGTCTTCTGATAACAGTCATTGTCTTCTTCTGCCTTAAACCAACTGAACAGCGGAATCATTTGAAGTCACACCCAAATGACCAACATTGCCATTACACTTGATTCTCCTTTGGCCTTTCTTTTATTGAGCCATGACCATCTTAACGGGCTGATTTATAGATCAAGAAGAATCCAAACAAATCTGCAAACACTTTGAGTCTGGTAGTAACTGTTTTTGTTCTCTCTCTCTCTCTCCTGCTGCCATGACAGGATGGTGGATGTTGGAGGTCAGAGGTCGGAAAGGAGGAAGTGGATCCACTGCTTTGAGAACGTCACATCCATCATGTTCTTGGTAGCCCTCAGCGAGTACGACCAGGTTTTGGTGGAATCAGATAACGAGGTGATCGATCTTTTTGTTTTCAAAAGAAAGAACCCGCTTAACCCTCTAATCCCTAAGCTTTTTTTTTTTTGTTGCTTCTGTCACATTTTTACTCACTGTGGGCTCATTTTTCACTGTAACATAAAGTCCTGCACCTCTGTGGAAACAGCTCAACCACCGCTAGAGGTAGAAAGAACTCAAAAATGTTCTTTGTTACTCATACCGAAAAAAATTTGCCTGCATTTCCATAATTGTCTCTCTCTTCTCTGTGTAAGCACAGTCTGCAGTTCAGCCCAGTTCAGCAGAAAAGTTCCCGAGTTCTTGTCATGTGACTGTTAGCCACAGCCGAGTTACTAACAGCTTCAAGAATGTGCAGACGAGTGCTCAATTTTTAGTTTCTAGTTTTGTTTTCAATTATGTTTTTTTAAAGTGAGGCATGTAGGACAAAGAATTTGGGAAATTGTAATGATTTTAAGCTTAGATTTGGTCAGTTTTCCCAACAAAATGGGACATAATTCTTTGGATTTTAAAAAAAGATAACATGCCTTTAAAACAGCATGTTATAGTTAATCAGTTCAAGGATTATCAGGAAGTTGAGAACCCAATGATTCTTTCTGTTTCTACAGTTTGTGGTTCTGATAAATGCTGTCATTTTCGGCATTCTTTAAAAATATAAGCTGCTGGCAAGTTTTGGGGTTCAGACGGTTAATTATATCAAACTACTGAGTGATTACGTTGTCTATGGGATGTTCAAAGCAATTTTCCCTTTTAAAATGCTTTATTATTTCACGTCATATAAAAGATGAGTTATCTCTGCAGATGAAAAGCTTTCCTTATTTGAAACAATGGAAATCTGCTTGGCGGTGCTCCACCTTTTTTTTTTTTTTTTTTTCCCTTGGAAAGCATTTGTAAATGATCAGCCAGCTGTTTTAAATACCGCCTCAGGCCTTTTTTTTTTTTTTTTTTTCCCTTGGAAAGCATTTGTAAATGATCAGCCAGCTGTTTTAAATACCGCCTCAGGCCGCATGTCCTTCTTAAGAGGATCTAGCATGTTTGTCAGTTTGTTAAAATGCATTAATGAGCAGGTGTGCCTTCATATGGGTGTCATCTGTTTGTGTCCCGTGTGTTTACCTTGTTTTGTAACTGCAAGCGTGCAGATTACAGAAAGAGTTCATCGAGCAGCTGCGTGTCTTCTGTATTCTGATGTCCTCAGACAGGTTTCAGAATATACCGAAGACATTCTAGTTAGTGCTCTCAACACACTGCAGCACTGAGATGTGTAAGACGTGCTGTCAGTGGTTGTTTTGTTCAATTAAACGCCGAAATCAAGTGCGAGGGAGAAATTAACGACATGGCTGCCCTTCTCTCTCATCTTTGCCGCTCTCCCTCTGGTGCGGTAAAACGTTTATTAAAATCTGTACTTAATGAGTATGAAAGACTGTGGTTTAATTAAGTGATTAACTGTCTCTCTCTCTTTCTTTCTCTTTTTCTCTCTCTCTCTCTCTGTATGTCTTTCTTCTCATCACTCCACCACACATATGCATTGGCAAACACTTTCTGTGTAGAACCGGATGGAGGAGAGTAAAGCTCTGTTTAGGACAATAATCACATACCCCTGGTTCCAAAACTCCTCAGTCATTCTGTTCCTCAACAAGAAGGACCTGCTGGAGGAGAAGATCATGTACTCTCACCTGGTCGACTACTTTCCAGAGTATGATGGTGAGTATCCAAGCTAGCTGTCAAACATTTGAACCAAGCTGCTTAAAGATAAAAAAAAAAAACGTTCTCTGGTACAAACATTAACTTGGACTCAGGGATGAACTAGTAACAAGTCAAAGGTCACTGTGACGTCTCAGAACATGCTTCTGGCAATAAATCAATAATTCATACAGTAATTCTGAGAAAATGTTACACAAATGGGGTCAAATAGGATAAAATAATGAGATGATGACGTCCTGTAGCCAAAGGTCAGCGTCACTGCGACATCATATTGTTCTGCAGGAGCACTTTTCTGGCTGTTATTTAACATCACGGCTCAGGAATAGAAGGAGAGATTGTTGTCATATTTCACATTCGGTCAGAAGCTGGGGTACCCACCTTGAAACTGCTGTGACTGTATTGATCTTTGAGATGAGTGTGAAGCATCCGTTTTTGCTTCTTTGCAGCAACATCCAGCGTCTCTAAATGAAGGTGCACGTCTCTTGCGGGGAAATTAATTACTAGAATCGTACGAATCAATACAGCGCTAACTTGCATTTTGCCAAAAACAGCAGACTGTCAGTGGCAGAAAGTAAATGCTGCCTCACCAAAAATCTCTTTTTCAACAGTGTCCTGGCCAAGACAGGCAACAACACAACTAATAAAGTCACAACAGCATCCACACAGACATCATACTTGTAATACACGCTGAGGTTGCATGTAGAAGACAAGAAATCAACACATCAGCAGAGATCAGAACCATAACTAGCAAAATAATCATCTGTCAAAACATCTACAGACTGATGTTTCTGCCTCCAAGTCATTTAGAAACACTTTAAAAGTATTTACAGAGACCAGCTCTTAAAATTTCAGGTCTTTTTGCAAAGTGTTCCAGGTAGAAGGAGCAGCAAATTCAGAAGCTTTCTTTCCTCGTTCTGTTCCAACCTTGGGAACAGACAGTAACAATAGAGCCTGGAGCTTTTATACAAATAAAAACCTGTAAAAAAAAAGGAAGCAAGGCCAAAATACATTCAGAAAATAAAATATGCCAGTGTTTTCTCCTTTGCGTGGTCAAATCTGACCATCCAACACCAAAGCACAACCAACAAGGATGTGTTAGTGGATCAGATGCCAGTCAGACAAGTAGTGCAAAACCATTAATTCATTTAAAGACAAATAAAATCATTCTAAACTCTAAAATGATGCATCTCCACGTGCACTTACATGCAAAAATATCCTGTAAAAAAAAAAAAGGCTGCTGTTCACCTGTTAGACAGTGATCGGCTGAATGGTGGATATGCTGCTGATTACAGGCGACTGTCCCACGTGTTGCACATGTACTGATGGAGCATCATGTTCCTTTTTCCAGGTCCGCAGAGGGACGCCCAAGCAGGGCGAGAGTTCATCCTCAAGATGTTTGTGGACCTGAATCCAGACAGCGATAAGATCATCTACTCTCACTTCACCTGTGCCACCGACACAGAGAACATCCGTTTCGTCTTTGCAGCCGTCAAAGATACCATCTTGCAGCTCAACCTAAAGGAGTACAACCTGGTGTAGAGCGGAGCAGGGCTTCCAGCAGCGGGCCCTCAACACACACACTGACTGACGCAATCTGTGAAAAGATAGATCATATACACACACACATAAGAAAAAAAAAATCTGAGAAAAAAAAATAATCTAATGGTTGCATAATACTAATTTATTTGCCATTTGTTGATCTCTTGGTCCCTAAGGGGTGAGCAAAGTGAAAGTTGTCTTGCTATTTAAGGAGTTAATGAAAAATCGGGAAGAGGGGGCAGGATGTTTTCAAGGGTTGTGGAAGGAACTGGAACGAAAGCAGTGTTTGCTCCGTTCCTGCTGCCTTTTTATACACGAGAAGAAAAAAAAAAGTCACATTCCTTTTTTTTTTTTTTAACCCTCCCTCCTTACCTGTCGTTTCCTTCTGGAGCTTCACCGTGGGCAGGAAGTGACATCAGATCTCTAATTGACCTTTTTCCTTTAATAGACTGATTGGCAAGTCTCTTGGTGGGTTGGCATAAACTGTGATTTTTAAATTATTTCCGATCGATTTCATATTGATTGACTTTAATCATTATTATTGTTGCGTTTACTTTGGTACCATTCGATGAGTAGAACATGTGTGACTGTGGATGTACATTCCCCTTATTTCGAGGCGGGGGGTCATATATGGAGCGATGATAGCTCGCCGCCCTCGACAAAAAAACCGCCAAGTTCAGAAACGTGAGAGAAATTGGCTTTAAAATCTGAGCTTTGACCGGCAAAGGCGAGGAGGCGCGCAGAGATCTGACATGTCGAGGTGAACTATGATGGACGGCAGTCACTTTACACAGACTGAAGGGAGCTGAGGAGGTAGTAATTTATGAGACGATATTATTAAATGATTATGTTCAACTGTGCCACATTAACGCTTTTTATTACGGTAATATGTGTATTTATTGCCAATGCCAAAACAACTCAAGCACCAGACTCCACTTTGCGTGTTAACTACTTTGATGAAATGAAAAGTGTTGAGGCCAGGACAGAGCAGGAAGGGAACGGACCGACCGACCGACGGATCCATCCACCGCAGCTGATTCATGCAGTTTTTGAAGTATTCAACACAGTCGGTGGTGTTCTTCCCGCCACACTGGCCCACCTGAGCAGCCTGGACTGACTTGTGTAGAGGCTCAGCGCATCGAACTGCTCGAACTGTCCAATCACAACCTAGCGCATGGCTACCAACCCCTCCCCCACGGCCTGCGGACTACCCAGTCACATTTTAGCTGTATCTTTGTTATTGTCCAATCACAGCCCGGCTGTCTTGACTGTTGTAGTTCAATAGCAGTGGAGAATACATTTGGCTAGTTCCTATGTACAAGGGCAGAGTGTTGATGTTCAGTTTGTACCAAAGTAAGCCCGTCTTGTTTCTGATTGGCACCTCTGATTTACGGTTCCTCATTCCCAAGTTACTTTGAGTATTTTTTATTTTTATTATTTTGTAACAGTTCCCAAGAACATAAGCCTGTAATTTACATTTATTGAGGCATAGTGCAATTATGAATGCTATAATCATTGTACATACATCTCTCTATATATATGGCAGCATCTTTGTTGGCTTTGTAATCATTACTTTTTGGCAGATTGAATGTGCGGTATTGAAAATATGTATCTATGTAATTGTATTGTATGTCTAATGGCTAATTCTTTTTTTTTTTTTTTTTTTTTTTAAAAAAAAAATTTTTTTTTCATTTTTTTTTTTTTTTTTTTTTTTTTTTTTTTTTTTTAAAGAGGAGAATGTACATTTTGCCAGTTTTATTTCTCAGCAAAGAAACATTGTTCAGCTTCAGAACTGCATAAAGAGGAATATTACTATCCAACAACAACAGATCAATTGGTATACCAGTACGTACACTAGGCGTTTTGTTAAATTGACTTTTATATGAAAAACTGCAGACTGAATCTACTCTACAGGGCTAATTGTGATAGTTTCAGGAACAGAGCACTTGTCATATAGGTGTAACTACATCACTCGTTCATTCTTATTCTTTTCTATTTCGCTTCTCACTTAAGTATTGAAATTCCTTCGTCTACGCCGGCACACCTCGACCCTGAACGCACCCCCACCCGACCACCAACCACCTTTTTGTAGGCAAGAAGTAGCGCTTAGACCCAAGTGGGTGGCAAAGGGGTCGCTTTGGTTTCTGTTATAGGTTTGTTTCCCCAAAAACTGATAGAAAGTCAGTATTGTCATGTGTCACACAAAAAAAAGATGACTCAACCATTTGGCCTAATTAGGATGGTGCTTTTTTTATTTCTTTTTTTTACTTCATTTCCATCTTGATTGCCACAATTTCATTCGAATGTACAGTATTATTTTTATTTATGAAACGACAGCATAAGAGAAAAAACACACAGTTCACATGTACATATTGCCTTATTGAATAAGCTGTGCCTCTGAAGTCCCCCACGCAAAGGCACCTGTGTTTTTATGAGAAGTAAAGCTAGTGCAGCCAATAATGTCCCTGTTGTGCAGCTGGAGGATCGTCTGGTTTTTTTGGCTTGGTGGTCTTTTCTTTTGTTACTCCGTGCTATAAGAAGCCCCCTTGGAAGCAGCTTTGAAGTGTAGCTCATGTAGCTGATATAACATAATTACAGGACGTTATAAGCACATCCGTGAGTGAATTGTAATCAGAACACTCTTTCTATTGAGTTTTCATAATGTTGATTCATGTCTTAAAAAAAAACCCATACCGCCGTGCATTAGAATGCATCGAACTGCCCTGATGTGATTGAAAGCGCTCCTACACAGCAGGATGTGTAGAATGTGCTCGCGAGGTGTCACAAAAAAAAAAAAAACCATCAGCGGCCACCTGCTGAGTGTTTTTTTTGCCATGTTTGGCTGTGTTTTGGCGTCTACCGGCCTCTTTGGCAGGTAACCAGGCCTCACTCAAGAGGTCCTGTTGTTTTCAGATATTTCAGCTGGCTGGTGAAGTCGCACACGAGGATGGTTGGTTTTGGCAACCAGTTAACTCCCAGTCTGATTCACAGTGTAAAGTAGATCCTACAGTAACCGCTTATCAACAGCAGGGTCGTCACGGGTGTTCACGTGATCCCGCTTGTTGCCAGGGGAGACGTTTTGAAGCTGGACTATAGTTTCAACTTATCAGTGTTGATGATGGCTTGTTGTAGACTTGCAGTAATCAGTAACTTGCGTCCCTGCTGTTGTAAAGTGGCTATTTACACTGTCCCCTGTTACTTAAAGGGAAAATCCTTGTTCAAACAATTACTGCATTCAGAGCAAGAGACCGCCGACGAGCCTCGATCAGGAGTTCACGAAGCGGCGGCGAAGTGACGACTGATCTGAGAGATGTGACGTTAATGTTTGGTTACAAAAAATGTGTGTTAAATTTGAAGAGATGTAAGCCAGGCTGGATTTTTCCTTTAAGAGCGAGTAAAGGCTGTAGCTGATGTTGGTGACACACGCCTCCGTTGCTGTTCGGTATCTTGGAGAGCAGCTGAGTGTATATTAAGAACTGCAGGGGTCGGGATGAACAACGTCCCCTAAGCTGCTCTTTTAGTGTCGAGACACATCGTCTGATTGCTTTCAGCCTACTTATGGGGTTTCTTTGCCTCCAAATCCTGAAGATATGAAGTTTAATGACTAATTTTGAAATAGTGTTATGATGATCTCCAATCATAATTGTGTAAAATGTTTCCTGTATCCATAAACTCACACTCCTTCAACATGTTTCTGAATGAAGCAACATGTTTCTTTTCAACTCTTGTCGACTCTGATTTTTTTTTATTTTCTGTGATCTCAGTGACGCGGCTCTCGTTTCTACATTGATGTTCATTCAATGCTTTTAAAATCATTACTCGCTGCTATAGTTTAGGCAAGCTTCTGGTTTGTGCCTCAAACCTCTAAGAAAATGTAGTTAAAGTGAACACAGGTGGGATTCTTGTAAAGTAGAACCCTGTTAAATGTAATGAACTGTGCTGCAGGGGTTTTACCAGCAACATGCAGGATGATGAAACAACTCCTTGAAGATTCATGTTCAGTGATTTTGTTTCTTAGATACAAAGATCTCACAACAAACTTTCCTCATAATGAAAAAAAGACAGGAACTGAAAATTTGTATTGAGAAAGTGGGATAGTTCAGTCACTAAATCCATCCATCCATTATCTATACACCTTAATCCTCACTAGGGTCATGGGGGGCTGGAGTCTATCCCAGCTGACTCAGGGTGAAGGCAGGGGACACCCTGGACAGGTCACCAGTCTATCACAGGGCTACACTTAGAGACAGACAACCAAGCACACTCACATTCACACCTATGGACAATTTAGAATCACCAATTAACCTCAACATGTTTTTGGACTGTGTGGGAGGAAGCCGGAGAACCCGGAGAGAACCCACGCTGCACGGGGAGAACATGCAAACTCCACGCAGAAAGATTCTGGTGCCCCCACCAGGACGCGAACCGGCGACCTTCTTGCTGCGAGGCAACAGTGCTAACCACTGAGCCACCTTGCAGCCCTCACTAAATTAATTTAAATATAGTTATATTGCAAATCAAAGCAACAACTCTCTCTAGAAGTCTACAGGAGCCAACAAGTCGACTGTGTGACTGAACAGAGAAGTCAGATCTTTGTATTTGTCCTTTTGCAGATGTTCACGTTGCAAAGAAGTCGTGATGCTACAGAGCAGACTTCTGAGAATTGTGTTTAAAAAGAGGACAAACCTGTGGATAAAGAGAAAGTTAGCTGCACAAAATGCCTGCAGATTGCTTGTGGATGGTTTTCCAAGGTAAGCAAAACCCATTAATCAGCCTTGGTAATCAGTGTTTTAATGAGTGAATGACGAGGCCACACTCATCTACTGTTGACTACCTCAGTGGCTCATCTATTCTGTTTACTAATGAGACTAAGGAACCCACTATGTTTGGATTTTTGCTTTAAGGGTCCTGTTAAAAGCGCTATTTCACACAGGAAGCGTAACCTCTAGCTTAGATTGTATTCAACAGATATTTTCCTGCTAGATTGGATTATACCGATTAGTTATTCCTACAGTCATAAATGGTACTTTATTGTTAGAATTGTGAGATTGTTGTCATGACATCAGAACATTTTTACATCTCCGATTATGTTAATATTTGAGCATTTAAACAGAATTTCATCTCCCACTTATTTTGCTTTAACACTAATGATCATGACAGCTGATGTGTGAAACTCCAGGTCAGTTTAAGGTCCAATGTTGGTCCAATGTCTGACTCACTTTTCATTATTATCTGTTTCATTATTGTACTGTAGCATCACTGCTCATGCTAGAAACCAATATCAATATCTCGCTTTCATTCCCCTCAACAAAAAAACAACTATTGTTCTTCCACAAGATCACACGAGCAAAAGATGCAAAGTTTCAGTGAAGCCAGGCGGTAACTTGTTCACTCACAGCTGGCCTTCCTGACCCCTGGTGGACGGTACAGGACACTGTCCGAGGATGGAGCACAACACTTCCCTTCTTCACTTGTGTGTTTCCTGAACCTCTTCTAATACATGTCTAATAGTAAATGTGTGACATAATGTAGACTAACCCATCTCCCTCCAAATACCTCCTGTACCTGATCAGTAGATTTAGTCCATTTTCACATCAGCTCTTTTTTGGTTGGCAGCAGCATTGCTAATCGTCTAACAGAATTAAGATAATTTTATGGATGGTGTTTTGAGAGTGCAAAATAAGCCTCTTTGCTTTTTTTTGTAAGGACATACATACATAAATTATTTTAGTGCTTCCATGAGAGTCACGTGGAGGGTTGTCCATCTGAACAAAAATAAATACAACAGCAAATACATGTTTTGTAATACGTTAAAGGCTAAGAGTAGGATTTCTGACACTGGGTAAGAAGGCCTTGAAGGACATCAGTGATGTTCAATACACAAGCCTTTCCAATGTTACATTTCTGCTAAATAAATAGATAAATAAATAAATACCATCATCTAATACAATAACATAGTTGTCTAGTGGTAAAAATGTGTCATTACCTGTCTAGAAGGCTTGTTCACCTTATGTTAATCTAACAATAATATGCTGTATTAGCTTCCTGTAAACTAATAGAGCAAAACAAGCTATATTAGCTTGTTGTATAGTTGTTGTATAGTTGTATATGTCTTAGTATACCATAATGCTAGTTTGATGTAAGCTAATGTAGCATAATATTATGCTATAATAGCTTGCTGTAGGCTAATATAGCAAAATGCTAGCTTTATTTATTTAAGCTAAAATAGTATAATGTTAGCTTAATGCAAGCCTATATAGCG